TTTTTCTAATGCTATAACTCTTGAATGATTCATATTTCAAACGTTTCCTTCTTTGAACATAGTAAAAGTAAACACACAATAACATAATAAACAAAAGAAACGTGAATATATATTTTATTGTAAAATAACGATTTATAAACTTTATTTGTAAAACAAGAAATGAACCTAACAATATTATACTTTGATTAGCAATATGTAACAATTCAAGATAAATAAATACAAACTGAAAAGTAATGTCAAAATGTCACGTACAATAATTAGATTTAAAAAATATATCTATAACAACATACTTTGGAATATTTTTGAGCAGTGGAAAAATACTTTTATACAATATTTACTATTATCTTAAAATTAAATCCGTTATTATTATCTTTTTATTGACATTACACAGAAAATATTTTGTTCAGGTCATATAATATTTCAAGGAATAAAAGGAGGAAAAAACGCTGTCAGCAAATAAACCTCATTAAAAGTACAACTCATTTATTTGTTTTTAGAGAAGAAAAATAAAAGGCAAGAAATAAGTCTTACTTCTCATTCCTGCTTAAATTAATATTAATTTTACTTTTTGAGAATTCTGCCATATTTCTTGAACTATTTAATACATTTTTACTGCCACATAGTTCCTGAGAAATGAATTAAAAACAAGACGATATTTTTTGAAAATTTTATCGCTCAGTAACTATTTAATTCATTTCAACTAAACTTTTTTCCTTTTCAAATAGTATAAACCTAAAATATTGCAAAATTATTAATGAAAAAAAAGACAGTGAAAAACAATAAAAATGACAGTATACATTAAAAAATTTAAATTTGATATGTATATATATTTTTAGGAAGCATTATCATAACAACTAAGGCATACTTCATAAATATTTATAAAGAAGGCTTTACTTGGTATTGAAACAATAAATTACAAAATAACAAAAATGCATTTCATACATAAAAATACAAGCGTTAAGTAGACGCGAAAGAATTTGTATTAAATACGTATATTTCACAAGAAACAATAAAAGTTGAAAACTATCTCTTAAAATGCACATTGAAATGCAATGCCTATGACATTCTTTAATGCAAACAAATGAGTAAATAAAAGTGCAAATTTAGGAACTAAACTTTTTTCTAACAAGATAAGAAAATAAATAAAAACAGGTACAATTCAAAAGCTAAGGTACAAAAATAATATTATTCATGATCATAAAATTAATCATGACATTTTTTTTCGAAAAAAAAGAAAAAAACTTTATTAAAACTTAATAAAAACTTAGCATATTTTCGGCTTTTTACATTAAATATTCTGAGTATTAAATATTTAAAAGTTATTAAATTTTTATAAGATTATTTAAGGAAACTTCATGTTTACATTATTTTAATTAGGAAATTAAAAACTGATTCACAGATTAATTTGATAATTACATAAAGGGAAGAATAAAATTTACCCACTATTTTTACACTCTTCCTCCATCGATTAACTTAAAGGATATATAAATTGCTCCCACATATTTATAAGATATTAATCAGTAGCATAAGAGCAATGACCGATAAATTATGATCCTAATACTTTCATGTACTGCCTGGTAAAAAATTCTCTCTTCTATAAAAATGGATTTTTGTAGCAAATAAAAAATCAAGATTATCGAAAAAGCTAAACGAATCTGTCATCAACATGTTTTTATTATTCATCTTCACAATGCTTTAAAAATGTTGTCGGTTTTTTTTTCTTTTTATTTGTTTGATAGTAATCAGTAAACATAACAGTACTTTGCATAGAAATTTTTGAATTACTTTAAAAATTTCTATTTTTGCCTTCATTATCTAAAAATCTTTTTTTTTAAAAACATGGCTAACTGTATTAATTACTGTTTTTTTTTAAATTTAATAATTTGATTAAATTTTTAAAAAATGCACATTTCAGACAATTTTAACACTTTTTTAACACAACATTTTTTTTAACATTTCAAATGTTTTAACATTTAAACACATTAATTTCTTTTAAATTTAATGTTTCTTATTAAGAAATCAAGTGATTAAATTTGTGATTTAAATTGCTGGTTTTGGTAATTTTAAACCAGAAATTTAAATTTGTTAATTGAATTGTTAACACCTGGAATAAAAAATTACAAAATATAGTTTTTATGCATACACAATATACAAAAATATATATAAGAACATTGCATAATATAAAAATTGCAATATCCAGAATAACTTCTGACACAATCTTAAAATGCCGACAAATTTTACTGCCATAGTTCGAGAAGCTAACCTAAAATATACTAATTTAATGAATAATCAATTTGAAACATGATTTAATTTACAGCACAAAAATGCAGGGGAAACCAAAACCTACATTCTAAAAGCTGACCACCTGCCTAAACTTTTGGAACTGTATATTCCAGATAGCAGCTATCTCTTCCCCCTCCTATATCGTAGAATTAAAAAATCTGAATTAGACAGATAAAAAGGCATATTTATTCCAGAAACTACCTTCTCATGTCAAATTTTGTAACTTAAATTATCACTTGTATAAATTATCCAGCACATTTTATGTAGCCCTCTCAAACCATATTGATTGGATCTTAACAAATATAAATATGATCAAAAAGTCAAAATCCTTAACAATGTAACATTTTAAATACAACGCACTATACATTAACTTTCTACAAATCGGTGTATATGAAATCAAAAAATATTGCACATCAAAATATTGCATTTTGAATCTTAACTCATTAAAAGAACTAAAAAAAATAAAAATAAAATTTAGGCAAAAACTATTTTTTATTTTTTTAAAAAAAAGTATAGTATGACTAAAAAATAGGCACTAAATAATTTATTTATGTATAAAATTAATTTAAGACTAAAACATTAAATAGGATAAGCGTTGTGCGATTAAAGGATATCCAAGAATGAACGTTGATAGTACTAAATCATATAGGATTGAACCTTAATCTAACTACTTTTAAAAAAAGCATCATAATTTAAAAATAGTTTTTTACGTCCTGGTTTGTGCAAATGCAAACAACATAAATTTTTTCTTAGTTCCAACTATGAATATCTTTTTTTTATTTCAACAGGGACATTAAAATGCTTTTCAAAGAGAAAAAAAAGTAGTGGTTAGCAACGGACCAAGCTTTGAGAAAACTGATTTCAAACAATGAAATTCAAATTTTTTCAAACATTATATTAAAACTTATATGTATACAGCCAATATTATTTGAACAGATAAGCTGAATGTTACTTACTATGAAAGATTTTATTTCCAAAACAATTAAATGATAATACGAAAACTCTTCATTAAATTATAATATTTAAAAATTAGAATGTTTTCTACATGCCCACTAAAAAAATGCAAAGTCATAATATATACAAGATTGAGTCATAAATAACTTTCAATGCTTCTGATATTTTTAAACTATAGATATCTTAATCTGCAGTCAAAATGAAAGGAATATTTTTATTTTAATTAAAAATTACTCATAGAAAGATAAAATAAAAATAAATAAACAATTTTATTTTTTTCAAAAATTTACTTTAAAACATTATTTGTTTAAAAAAAATTTTAATTGTGGTATAATATTATGCTATTGAATAATTATTTTGAGATGTAATGGCTCATTTATTAAGGCACTGAGAATTTCATTGTGAAGCACTGGGGATGAATCCTTGGTGGCTTGAAACTCACCCAGCTTAAGATTAATGAGTGCAAACTTGTCATGAAAGTAAAGGTGACTGCTGCACAAAGACTATTTTGTTTTCCCCATCATTCCATTTGTTAAAATATTGAGGACTCCTAGACCCTCAAGAAACTGCTGTGAAAATGCTTTACTAAATAATTATTTTCATTTATACACAGGGTGCATAGACAAATCTTTCAACAAAAAATAAGCACCTTTTAAGTACTTTTTAAGCACTCAAAAATATTTTTAAGCACTATATACATTAACAAAATGCAAAATAATTTTCAAAAATAATTTTCATGATCATAATAAAATAACTAGTTTCTGACAAAGAACTCTTTTCTTGATTATATTAGCCATTATAAAATGATCAAGAGATTTTTCGGTTCCATATCCGAGGGCAGAAAATGAAGCTTGAAATAGAAAATATCTTGCAAAATGCAGCAGAGTTGCATGTGAGAGTGTAATAATCTCACCTAACCCAGCTCAGTCAACGCACATGCGGACTCGCAAGTATTTCATCAAACATGTAAAATGATTGGCGCTTTTATACTGGACCAATGGTAAGCCGAAATAGATTGTGGTTGAATGAATTGTGAACACGTTGAATAGAACAATGTGGAAAGCACGCTTATGCATAATACGTGGCGAAAATCGACATGGTAAAGAAAAAAAAATCTCATTTTCGAAAAGGGAAACTTCTAACTTTTCACTTTTTAAAAACACCCAATGAAAAAAAGCACCTTTAAGCACTTTTTAAAAACGCTATGCACCATGCATACAGTTGTTTATTTGAAGGAGATACAATTAATCACTTCTTTACATTGTGGCTCCTTGCCCAATAAAATATGCATTGGCTGTTTGAATCAGAGATTTTCAAATTCTGCCAAGTTGCAATACTCTTATGAAATGTAAAACTGATTCATGGTTACCCAATTATACGGCATTTGTCTGTGGTATAATATTTATATAATAAAACGCAACGATTCTGTTAGACAGGGAAACAGATATTATGGGAGTAAGAGGTGAGAACATAAACATAGTTAACTACACACAGGTAATCTGCACAAAAACACTAATTAAGGTATAATTGTAATTAATAAGAGGGTATTAATAAAAATACCTATTATTAAAATAATGTAAGTTTTAAAAATGAAAAGAACAAAAAATTACCATACACATTCAAAATTCTGGATGGTAATTTCTTTATGTTAGGTGAACTTGCAACTCAATGCATAACTTTTCAAATAGTGAAATAAAACTAAATGCAGCAACAGACCTATTTTGTCAATAATTTTTAGTCACGTTATCTCTTTGGAACAGTTACTGGTTAAAACCTGATTACAATGCACAAGTATTAAAGGTAGTAAAGGGAATGAGAACCCTCATATAACTTTTTATTAGTATTTACCAATAAACCCTTGCATCTATCCTAAACAATATCAACTCTATTTTGAAACTCTTTCTGGTTCAATATCGATATATTATTATTTAAGGATTGATATTAGATTCGAAGTCTTAGAAACCTTGCAATACCCCTTACTTAACCCTGCAGCGCATTAGGGTGCAACAGTACACGCTTTAAAAATTCCTGTTTTAAATCAAATTAAATATGTTATTCTGAGAGAGAAGCCATTTTCTCATGCTTTAAGGTATAAAAAGTAACGTATTTTATATCTAATCATTTTTTGACCGTTTCTACATGTTTTGGAGCATTTATATAAGCCTACTTTCAAACTGCAAGTTATTTATGACCCAATCTAAGTTAGCAGAAATATTTTCTTATAAACATAATGCTGTATATCAGAAAGTTATGCTAGAAAAAAAATACATAGTTGAATGGAAACAAAAAATGATAGTGGCCAAGAGTTCTGTTTTTTAATTTCTATTTATATTCTTTGAAGAATGGTCCTAAAGTTTTTGAAAAAAATTTAAATGCTTTCAAAAGGGGGAAACATATAAATAAATCAATCACAACCTATGTTAAAACCTTCTAATAATTGTGTAAGCTCTTCATTTAATTAAGCATCATTTAAAGATTGGCTCCAGGTATTTCTACTGGTAGAATTCTTGATTTCATAGACAGAACAAATTCATGAAAATAGAAACACAGAGCAGTTGTAATCATGATTGTTATCAGCAACCAGCCATTGTAGCTCATTATGATAAGCATCACCATGTAACCCATAGTAAGTTGGATCATGTGAAGTATAGTCTGAAGAGCGTGAAACTTTAACCTGGAAAGTTCGTAACAATGAGATTAAAACCCGTAGTATAAATTTCGTAAAAAACATTCCTATTTAACATGCGTTCTTACTTAAAACAAAAATATACGTTTTATAATAAAATGTGCATTATAAAGCACTAACTGAATATTAACTACTGATAAGAAAAATCAGAGACTTCAACTATTACAGATTCTCCATAGTTATAGAAAGAAATTTTTCTTAGTGGTAGCAAGGGTAATGTATTTATATTTTAATAAATTAGAAATAAAAGAATTTTACCTACCACTAAACACAAAGAATTTAAATAGATACATAAAACTATATAGACAAATGTTTAAATTAAAAAAAATTTTGTTTTAAAAATATCTGTTTGCTTCAGAAATTCTGCTTTAGTTAACTACCAATGGAAGAAATAGTTCAGAATTATAGAAAATTGTAGTAGTTATAGTAATAGTCTTTGAGAGAGAAAAAGAAGAAATATTTTGATGTTTTCTAATATTATATAAAGTTTCTTATTTCACATGAAATACTTTCAAGGATTAAATGTTAAAATTTGTGATCATTTAAGATACATTTCTTGAAACCTTCTAGATGTTTTCAAAATTCCAAAACCCAATTCAGTTGTTTGTGTTATATATGAATATTATAAAAAAATTAAGTTAAAAATCATTAAATGCTAAATAATATCTGTAATCATAATAATTAGGAAATTTTTGTTAGGCTATTTTCTTCTTAAACTTGTAATTGTAATTACTTCTCAATACACACAAGTGCAATTTATTTACTACATAATACAATACAAACAATATGACGTAGACAAAATTTAAAGTTCTATAACTGGAACTGCAGTATTTTAAATTATTAATATCAAGTCAATAAATATAAATTATTAATATCAGTCTATCAATAAGTTAAATCTCTAAACAAACAGTTACTTTTTCATATTAATTAATATCATATTGATGAATCACACAATTAGAAAATGGTAATAAAAAAAACTAGCAATTATTAGCACAAATAAAATTTTTAATAAACAACTAAATTTGTATACTTCCTTTTTTTTAAAAAAATTTAACTAATTTTATGAGTTACAAAAACTATTCCATGATTTCACAGCAACGAATCATATAATTTTGATTCTTTATACATCAATCTTTTAATGAAAGGGGTAAAAATCATTAAATATCAGCAGTTTATTAAAAGTGCATCCAAATTTTTTTATTTGATTTTAATGTAACTAGAAAAGATTTTGCTTAAAGAAATTCAAATAATGACAAAAAATTACAGTGCATGCAATACTACAGGAATACTTTGTACCTCTCTAAAAACTTCTTGGAAGGCTTTTTTGAAAGAACAGAATGAATGTTCTTTGGATTCATAATTTCATGTTCAGGAGATTCTGGTTCAGAGTTATTCTGCCTCCTCATCTGCAACATGACTAAATAATGTCGGAGAGATTTCATTACTTCATACATAAATGTAAAAAGAGCAACACCAAAACAAAGACCGACAATGCCTGAAAATATAATCAATGAAAATAAATATTCCAAATTTAAATAACAGTGCACATTGATTTTAGATTAGGATATGGGACAAATGATAAGTTATTTAAAAATAGTGTTTTTCATCTTTTTAAAGTTTAAATGTATTTCTTCCTTTATGCCACATACTCAAAGGATGAAAAAAAAAATATTTCCCTCATAGCCAATTTATCATTTGCTATGTCTAAATAATGCTATACCTTTCGTGTGTTGTTTTTCCTGTCAAAACATACATTTTCACCCTTGTGAGAAAGTTGTGTTTTGAGGAGAAATTTCTACTCGAAGTTGTGTAAATGCAAAACACTCAGTCAATCAATCACAGTAAAGAGCCATTCATACTTTAAAATAATAGAAATTATTAGTTTTTTTTCAACATTTCCTTCTCAATAAGAAATAGTTAAAATAACTGTGAGATTTTGAAGACTGGAGTATTATTTTACTACGAATTTAAATAAGAACTGAGATTTTTAATTATAAAGTATGTTAATGCATTTTGTTGAGCATGGTATCACCATTAATTGAATTATGATTATTTATTTACGATTGCATTCGGTTAAATAAGTTTAATTTTTATTTTACTTGCTTTTAATAAGTAACAATAAATTAAATAATTCATTTATTATAGATTAAATAAATAATTATGCCAATGGATTACACATAAACAATTTTTTTTTTAAAAATGAAAAAAGTATGCATCCAAACTAGCTTATATATAATTAAAAAAGAATAAAATCATTTATAATTTTATACAAAAAATATTAGATATGATCAAAATTATTAGTAAGCTATTTTGACAAATTTATAAAAATCATTCACAGTATCCTCCCCTATCTTATATATTAAGTAAAGCATTCCTGCACAGCCTATTGTGGGCCAGGATGGTCATGGAGGTTCAGGCTCCACTGCGGATCAAACCTCAGTTCTTCACAGTGACAGTGTAGTACTTTAACCACTTTGTCATCACATCTCCCATCTTATATATGCATCAAGGAAATATAAATATATATCAACCACAACACAGCTTCATTTATATTATAAATTATTAAAAACTAATTTATATTTATTTATTTTTTTCAAATACGTTTTTCTTTTCTGATTATATTATAAAGTTAATATTGTATTTATATTATAACTATAGTAATATTATAGTTATTATATAGTTAAATATTATGACTATAATGAATATAAATATTATAGAAACATTACGACAGAAACATAAGGCAAAATATTAAAAATATTATGACATATTTTATTGCGGACAAAGTTGTCAAAATAGTTAAAAAATAACAATCACTTGAAGATTATTTTCCAGTTTATTAACAAACACAGGAAATAATAAAAGGTGACATGAGGTCAAGGCTTTTGACTCTTATCAATTAAGTCGTAGAGTTGAAAGTAAATATTTTTTGACCTCCTGAACTTAGCAACACTGAATCCTTTGGAGAGAAAAAAATTTTTTGAATGAATATTTATGTTGCAAAAATTCCGATCCCAAACATTCAAGAGAATGAAAGTTTTGACAGGTCTTCTAAAATAAAGTTAAACTCAATTCATTATCCATTAGGAATTAAAATAAACAACTTTTGAATAATAAACAAAATATATCAAAATGAATAAACAAAAAATGCCAGATTTTTAATTTTGTACAATTTAAATGATACTTTGAATTTTCTTTTTAAAAATTTCAATTTTTTCTTCATAATAGAAATTTAATGTTTTTTAAAACTGTAATGAAATATAATTAAAATGGCAAGAACTAAACTTTTGAGAAGCATTAAAACAATGTATAAGTGCAGTGAAAAAGAACATGTATGAGTTTAGAATCAACTATGTAGGTTTTATAAAAGTAAATTTATAAATTTTTATCAGTTGCTCTTGTTTAATGTACTTAAAACTTATATGTGGAGTCTCAAGAGTACATTAAACAGCAAAAGCTAGTTAGAGTAAAGGTGCCTCGTAACCTTTTACTACATATGAAATTCTACATTTACTCATTATTTTTATCACGATTTCTTATTATTAGAACATCTCACTTTGAAATTATTTTGACTGCTTTCTGCATGAACATAAAAAAAAAAAGTATGATAAGAGAAGGGCACTAATATTTACTTTTACCACATCCTCTTAATAATGATTATCACAGGTGGTTTGTGATGAAGATATTTGAAATCACAAAAATTATATGATCAATAATAAATACTTCTTTAAAAGCAAATGCTTATATTAATAACTTAGTAGCAATATTATTAAATTAATTAGCAAACATAATAATGTTATTTACCTCCATTACTGGAAACACTGATGTCTTTAAAAAGTAAATTTTCAACCCTATTGGAAAAAATGAAGTAATGCTGGATCTCAGCCATCTACAAAGAGAAATTTTAGATTTGGCTTTTTAATTATCAAAAAATTCTTTTTTTTTTACTAAGGTGAAGAAAAAATAATAATAATTTACATTACATTTGCAAATGCTTCAAATTTCACTATGAACCTCTATAAAAACAGAGGAAACACTTCGTTCTCAAAACAATTTTTACATCACTTTGCTACGTATTTAACATTCAATTCTCCTTAAAAGATTTTGACTGCAATCACACCAGACACTTCATTATCATAGATTTCAGCTGATATCACACAGACCACCCGAAGGAAAAAAATCTCCATCCACCATCCACACAGCAAATAAACAAAGATGATGCAATAAAATCGATACCCTCTCTTATTGAAGAAGGAATCGATATTAAATAATTTTAAAATAAAACAGTTTTAATCGATACAGTCCCACATGCGACCGAGAGATTGATTGGTGAAATTTTCACCAATCAGGTTCTCTTTCTGAAGAGGAAAAATTGTAAGCAGTGAACATAGTACTTTAGCTATACTAAACATTAGAACCAATTCCAAGCTGTGTGTTTTTTCACTGTTTGCGTCATCCTCAAACACTTTTTTGTTGGTTTTGTTATTGAATTGAGAAGAAAATGACAGGTGATGCCCACTAGTTTCTTGAAAACAACCGTTCCATTTAGAGTTTTATATTGACTATTTTCTAGGATTTAAATTCGATTTTATACGATCAACAACATTGATACAAAGCATGGCCGGATCGGCTTTGAGACGCTTAATGGCGGAATATAAACAACTGACTTTAAATCCACCTGAAGGAATAATAGCTGGTCCTGTAAATGAAGAAAACTTTTTTGAATGGGAAGCATTAATTACAGGTCCTGAAGGAACTTGTTTTGAAGGAGGTGTTTTTCCCGCAAAATTGATATTTCCTGCAGACTATCCATTAAGTCCTCCAAAAATGCAATTTAGTTGTGAAATGTTTCATCCCAATATCTATCCCGATGGCAGAGTATGTATTTCGATTTTGCATGCTCCTGGGGATGATCCTATGGGATACGAGTCATCAGCTGAGCGATGGAGTCCCGTGCAGAGTGTGGAAAAAATTCTTTTATCTGTAATTTCTATGTTAGCTGAGCCAAACGATGAAAGTGGAGCAAACGTAGATGCTGCCAAAATGTGGAGAGAAGACCGAGAACAATTTAATAGAATTGCGGATAGATTAGTTCGAAAATCTCTTGGCCTTACGAGTTGAAAAAATTATGTTTTTCTTCAAATATTTTGCCCATTCCTAAGCTTGTTGGTATTATGTATAGCCCTTAAAAGTGTATATTATATAAATTATGTTAAATTATAAAATTTTGGAAATATGTTCAGTTTAACTACTTTGTTTACTTCAATTACAATTTATTAAAAATTGTTTATAAATTTATTTTAAAGGGAAAAAAAACCTTGTTTGAAGTGAAAATTATTTGTGTTTGCTGGAATTTTCCACCTTCTTTATAGTTTATATCATATCGTGTTGCTTCCTTAATATACTTTAGCAAACGTAGTTTTAGTAATATTTATCTGTTATCAATGAAATGTTGTTGTACCTATTATCTAAGATCATTGCAGTTACACATCAGCTACTATGCTGTGAATTTAATTATTTTTTTTCCTCAGTATTTCAAATGACTATAAATAATAACGGTCCGTCGATTTAGCGATTGTTCTAAAAGTATCGATGTTTTAAGTATGAATGTAAACAACAACAAGCACTTCACCCGCTTTACTTCCGCTTGGAAGGTATACAGCTAATTAGGCAGCTTATTCTGAGAGGCAATCTTTTCTAACAGATAGTTTTGCTTTTAATGAAGTAAATAAATAATATCATTTCTGATCTCAAATCTGTTATATTTCATTACGTAAGTTAGTGATATTAAGTAATTCAGGAGAGTTTCAAGTGAAAATTTCAATTAATTATTTATAGACGTATTATTACAAAAAAAAAAGGTGACATGACTGTTAGATTTGGAAAGAACTCACTTTTTTGGCAATCCTGTTTTCGCCTCTTTTTACATTATTTATTACTGTTTGTTCTTGTTACAAGCCGTACACCGTCATACATTAGTGTTAGCATATTGTTCGAGAAGTGAGATTAAATTCTTTTTACAAATTACCATCTAAGTTTAAATTTAAAAGTTTTTATATTGTTGACTAAGTAAGAAATGTTTTATAACTATTTTTCTTTTTTCATGTAATGATTTGTACGTCTTGAAATGGCGGTTTCAAATGGTGATTTTTATAATGATTCTTTTTTCAAACGCAAATATTAAATAAGGTAACAAATACATGTATACAAGAGATTCTACTCATGAGAGTCTTAAAACAATATTCATGTTGTGAGCTAGGCTTTAAAATACACCAAAAACAGTGGCGGCTTATTGTCCTAAAATAGTGTATGTTATCTTAATTGTCAGCATTCCACAATCTTTGTATTATAAATTTTTATTTAAATTTATTTTAAACATTTTTTTTAACAAATAAAATAAGGGACCAGTAAAAATTTATACGGACTAATAATATCTCCTCATTATCCAGTTTCGGCTTATGATAAATGAAAAATAAAACTTATCATGGAAGGAAGAACAAGAAAAAATTTAAATGTGGAATGCTTAAGTGGTCATCTTTTGATTCTTTCTTGTTATAGCTTTATACATATAAGTAGTTTATTAATAAGAGTATTTTGTATTCTACTCTTTGCTGATAAATTAGGCCTCTCAAGGTTGCAAGATTTTTGCACTCGCCACACTATTAACCGCATAGTTATTATGATTTCAACAAGTTTTTTTTCTTCTAACTGTTGTATGTTTTGACTGAGTTGAACATACTTAGGTGACATTAAAAGCACGATTTGTTGAAACCATAGAAACAGTGTTAAGGAAAGTGTGGTGAGAAAAGAAATCATGTATTTTTGAAATGCCTATGGATTCTATTCTAGCAGCAAAATAACTCGGGCCCTTTTTGGGCCAATATTCGCGAATCTTTGCTCAAAAAAGGTTCAAAGGACCGTTATGTACCGATATTAGCTCTATGTAGAATTGTCAGATTTCATCTGTTATTTTATATTCATCAATGAGCCAATATAGGCCCTATATGGGTTGATATTGGCCCCGTATAGGCTGCTATTCGCCCTATACAGGACCAATATTTAAAAATCAAGGCAACCCAATAAGACTCTTAATGCAAGTTTATATAAAATCCAATTTTTAGCCCAAATGGCAGCAAGGTAAAATTGTTGCTAGGGCATTCACAAGTTAAATCATTGTACATTGTAAGGTATAATCATATACCCTAAAATGTATAACATTCAATAAAAGTAAGTGGGAGTTGAAAGTAGAACTTGATTCTATCCAACCTACCTTTCACCGCATTAGATTGGTTATTTGACGTATTGTAAATAAAAGTGTATTCATTGCAAGTGTAGTTATTTGATTAGAGATTGCTGAGCAGTTAAAAGCACTCGGCTGTTATTGAGAGGAATTGATGATAGATTTTCTGTGGCGGCTTGAGGCACCTTCCCCACCAGCTTCAGATAAATGGGCACCAGCTGCTCAAGGATTTAAAAATAGCTTCCGTGCAATGCTGACTACTTGGCCTGAAGAATGTTGTGTAAATGCTTTTTGAAGTGTAGTTATTCATATTTATGATTGTCTAGTAAGGTTTATATTTTTTTAAAAATGTATAATTTCTCAATTCTGCTACAGATTACAAAGAATTTTTACGAGGTTCAACACCATCTAAATTTTGCAATATGTAATATGAGCCTGCCAAGTATGATACTGATACTTATTAAATAATTTCATTTTGAATTATTAAATAAACCACAGAAATTAATATGAAACATGGTTACTGTAATTGACTTGTTTAACATTGAAATAACCAATGGTTTGGTTAGTAATTAATTCTTCTAGAAATGCTTTGAATTTTATTTAAAATACAGGAAGGAAATTTTTTACTATCCTTAGTCTGGTGTATTTTAAATCATTGAGGAAAATTTTTGTGCAGAATATTGCTTGATAGTTAAAGAATTGGTGAATTTGTTTTATAACAAAGTTCATTGTTCTATTCAACGTTTTTGCAATTCATTCAACCACAATCCATTAACTTTTATTTTTCAATAATCAAGTTACTGGTTGCGGTAAGTAAGCGGGTGGGTGACCACTTTGATCAGCCTGCATGGGGACCGAGGATGTGCGGTATCGGTCCTCATTAATTTGTTCTGCTGTAAAGTACTCAACTTCGCGCAAGTCATTGGGCTACCAAAGCAGGGGAGCCATCCCCTTTGGGGAAAATCAAAATGGCATGTCTTCAGATCATCCCCAGGGATGTTTCTCAGACCGTCGCCAATAGCCCATTGTGCAGCTCTAGTGCGACAGTAAACAAAGTACCTACCTCCTTCAACAATCAAGTGAAATAAGAAAGGGGTGAAAGACTTTAAAAAGTTTTTTTGTTATCTAGTCTTACTACACAACTTCTTAATGTAGATTCCAAAAAAGTGGCTATGATTTTATGTGTAAGTTAACTAAATAATAATGAAATCATAATCTTTAATTACCTCTCTTCTCTCCCTCAGTTATATTTTCTCTCGGGTCTTCAACTCTGAATTGGCAACATTTATGAAGATAATTTAAGATGGCCAAAAACTTAAGTATTAATAAAAAAATACTTTGAAAATATAAAATAATAATTTTAAAAAATTCACTCCTTGCGAAAGATTGCTGTTATTTACGGTAAAAAACATAATTTGAGCCTTGCATATAGCACGAAGAAAAATATCAAAAACTCTTCTAAAAGTTTACCTTGGAGTAAGAAGGTTTTATTTCGAGGGGGCTTGATAAATATCACTTCATTACAGGGGTCGTAGTTGTCCTCATTTTTAACTTTTTGTCCTAATATTTTTGATTTGTATGCATTCCGAGTATCTTTTTTTTTTATGAATACAAATTCGAAATGATTTTTTAAAAAATCGGTTGGTAGAATCAAAAGATTTGGATTTCCTATCCAATATCTTTTTGTATTAATTAACAGGGCTAGGATATTGTTAAGCTAAAAATTCTTTTAAAAATATGCAAAAATAAAAGCCTCTAAAACGATTAAAGAAAAAAAGACCTTTAAATGAAAAATAACGCCCTTCAAATTTTCGTGAACATATTTTATATTAGCTTTAAAAAAATTTTTATATATTTTTTTAAACTTTAACTGCAACTAATACTTTTAAATTTAAAGTGTAAAAAAATAATAGAGATAAATATAAAATTTATTAATTAGTAGCAGTTACAATCTTCAAGTATATCAGAATATCTTTATACAATCCAATAGTTTTTGATATTTTTAAAATTCGAAGAACGTCTATTCTCCAAAACAAAATTTTATGTTTTAAAAAATTCCATTCAACAGCGCCACTTGTTACTGGAGGGTATCTAAAATAACAAGATAAATACAAAATTCGCAGTAAAATAGAAATTCCCAAGCAGAATGCTCTGAAAATGGACAAAAGTATTTAAAATTCACTAAATTACCCATAGAGTAGCGGGGATATAAAAAAATGACCAATGGAAAAACTGGACAATGTCCATCCTAGTTCTTTAAATGAGACAATAGCGTAAATAACATCCCTGCGAACCCCGAGAGAAGTCTTACCATATCTTTCAGGGCGCACGCTCTAGAAAAAAAATAACACTGTAAGCTACAAAAAAAATATGTTTTGTTTTTTTTTTCTTCATAACAATTACGATTTTCTTTACCTTAAATTAAAATAAAATTGATGGTTTTAAATCCCCGAACATCTTTTCATAGTGTTTTGTTTTTTATTATAATTTTAAATTTTGGTAACTCTATGATGGGGCGCATTTACGGCTATGTACAGAACGCAAAAGAAGAAGAAAAAAGAAACAACCTGAATAACTTTTGATTTATTAATGATTAGATCTTCATGTTCTAGGATTCAATCTAAAAGCCTCCCATTAAATATGCTAATTACTAAGAGCAGACGATATTTTAAGCTACGAAATCAGACGCAAAAATGTAATTTCTCTGACCAAACATACGTTTTTTTTATTAAAAATATAGGGTATACCCGCAACCTGGTAAAATATGGTCTCAATATAGTTTGGTCAGAAAAGCGGTCCACACTTTGGACCCCTTTATCATACTTGCGTATTTCGCCATATCCTGAGAACTTTTGAAGCGATTCGAAAAAGTTTGGCTAACAATTATAAATTTCGTACGTTTTTGTGTCTATTTCGCTACTTAAAATATTGTCTGCACTTATTAATTAGCATATTTGAAGTCACCCCCTTGAACCATTAAGATTGGGTGACAGAAACCTGAGGAAGCGATCATAAGTTCTAAAGTTAACTACAGTGGTCCGTTTTATTTTATATTTTT